GATATTAAATGCTGATTTATGGTACTACTAATTGTCGAAGTTTATAACTTAACAACTGATTTAAAATATATTAAATAGAGAAAATTAACTAAAAAATCTTACACGTTTTCAAGAATAAATGTGCTAAGCATTTAACATGTTAAAAATGGATAAAACAAAAGGAAATTTTATTCCATGGACAGGAGTAGCTGTCTAATTCGAGTTCGAAAATAAATGAAAAAAAACGACTTTCATGTCGTTACAACATCAAAGGCAAAAGAAAAACTTTCACTCCAACATGCCCATGTTAATTTAGGAAAAGACTTTTCTTTCGAATTTATAATTCGAAGAGGCACTCCTGTTAATTTAGGAAAAGATTTTTTTCGAGGGTGTGGGTGTAAGGTTACTGCATCAAATTAACACTCACACCCACACCCTGATGTAAAAAAACGGCAAAAAAAATTTTTTACTGGAAATTCGCATTGCGGGCACCTTAGCTATGATGCGATTTGAATCATTTTTCTTTTAGAGAATAACTATTTTCATTCTCTCGAAATCGGTATGTTTCAATCAAACATCTAGAAATATAGTTGAAATAAATAACATCAGTTTACAACCAGGAATGGAAACTTTTTCGAATACTCTTCAGTAGTCAACAGCAGTTGCATACAATAGAGAATGTACTGAGTTAAGGGTACCCGAAAAAGTACCCTGTTACCAGTATGCCACAGGAACTTTCGGGTACCAAAATACTTGTAGGTACTTTCAGGTACCTAAGTGGTACTTGCCAAAGTACCCTGCTACAAAAGGTGTAGTAACTGGGTACTTGAAGGTACTGATCAGATACTCAATTGGGTACTATTGTATAGTATTTCTAGGTACCCTGTTACCAAAATTTCAGTATGTTCAGGATCGAACCTGACCTTTGACTTTTTTAAATTTTTGTTTCTCTCAAAGCAATTTACTACATTTTTTTCGATTTTATTCAATTTAATTTTTTCAATTCCAAAAACTTAGCAGGTACAATGCCGGGATCTGACCCGATTTGAGTTGGTCGAGTATCCATCAGACCCTTTTAGAGTAGTCCGCTCTTAATCTACGATCAAGATCGGGATGGTCTCGACTAAGAAATAGCCAATAAATAATATAGAAAAAGTTAGTATGAAAACAGATTAATTTCTTATGGTCTGCCCAGTTATTTATATGGAGCCGTGCGTGCAAAAGAAAACGGTGAATGAATACTCGCTACACAGAACGCGACAAATCTAGGGTACCTGTAGAGCTTTCCTCAGTAAAATTACAGATGCGAGTACCCATACAAGTACTTGTTCATTGAGCGTACTTTTATGGGAACTATACGCAGTACCTACATCAGTATAATTACTGAGAATTTTCGAAGTACCCATATTGGGTACCCTGCTAAGACTTTCTCAGTACATGGGTACCCTGAACTCAGTACTTTCTCTAGGGTAAGACTTTTTTTTTCACTTGTTCAATTTTCATCGTTAATTTATGCTTTGACTTATTTCGCCATATTCTATTTTCTTGATGATATATTCTGTTATCTATTATCACAAACATCTTGAAAATTTTCATTGTTTTTGAGTATAAAACTAAATAAGAATCAATTAAAAAAAGGGAAATTTCAACAGAAATTTAATGAAACATCGAAACTAAAATCATTGGCATTCGCGAATATTCTTTTCAGTGATGTACTTCACTTGAAACTCAGACACTTTCCTCTTTCACTCTTTTCATGAACAAAAAAACCAATATATAAGTAGTAGGTAGCTGATTTATATACTTTGTAAAAATATGAATATGTTTTTAAAGAAAAACAAATGTTACAAAAATATTTATGAGACATCAAGATTTGAGAAAGTATATTGTATGAAGTGCAGAAGACGATGTTTTGCAACTTTGTGCTTCTATCAATCGATTATAATTCGGAGTGTCTAGCTGATGGTCGCAGAAGACGATCCAGTTCAACTTCATCTATAAGCCATACTGTTTTATTTACATTCTCAATACCAAGCATAGCCACTATGCTCTTGTATGTTTCTAATACAGCAACTTCAACATCAACAGGCAATCTCGCTTTTACTTCTGCTATATTACCAGTCCAGAAAGGTGCATGATGTAGAATTTCTATACCAAAATGTTGACGTGAGAAAGTATTGTACATTTTTGTGTTTAAGATGTGCTGATGCCATGCTTTGTCAACCATTGGTGATGGTACAGCCATTGCATCATTATTATTTTTCAGAAATGTGTAAAAATTTTCCAATTCGGCAATTGTATTAGGTATATCTTCAGGATTCATATGATCTTGCATTTGAAGACGTTCTACGAGATAAAGTACTTCAGTATCTGAAAGTTGAACTTTATTTAACATTGGTGACGGTGATAGTTCGTCGTGTGCCATTGTCATCGTAATGAATACGACTTCTATGAGTGTCCAGATCCTATGGTATTGAAGTATATGCATTTATTGCGATGAATGACGAAAACTCTTTTTTTTCACACAGAAAAACTTCACTTAATATTGAAAAAAATAAGTGAGTAGGTTAAATTATTCTAATAAATTACTATCTTTTTTTTCTATCGACGTCAAAAATAAATCATGACTCTTATATGCATCAAGTAAATATCAAGTTATATGCGTATCACTATTTTTATACACGTGGGTTTGCATTAGGCAATGATTTTGATCTTTTCTTACTATTCGATTTGATGACGCTCATTGATCACGCCATTATGAATGAATAATCAAAACGTCTAATTATGATTTTTTGCATTAAACAAGCATGCAAGTTCAGATATGATTAAGAAACGATATACATATTGGCAGAGAAATTTTTACTTTTTTGTCTGTCGAATGACTGAGAAAATACAGTAATACATAGTGCAGCAGGTTCTACAGTTTATTCTCTTGTTAAACATCTCTTTTTCAAACCATTTCGTCATCATATTATATGTTCTACATTTTTTCGTCATTTTTGAATATCATAGACGCATATACTTTGATTACTTCTAAAATTATACCAAAAGCAAAAAAAAACACGAATAACTACGTCATTTGCTTTTCGTCATATCATATCTATATAAACAACGAGCAAACGCAATAAAATCACAAAATAACATTGAATTTACAACAAGCAACATATCCTTGCATTTCTCATATTTTGAAAACAACAACCATAACGTGAAATAAAATAATGCGTCTGATTCTAATCTTAATGTTAGTGATTACAATTCTCAATGTATGGCAAGTTGCAAGTACTCCAGAGAGAAAAGAAGCTCTTGCAAATCGTAGATTGGCTTTACGTGATCTCGTCCATAGGTCAATAGAAAAGCGTATCTTTTATTCATATTCAACATTATCGCGCTTGACAGTCTGTTGGATTCAGTTTAAACGAATGAAAGCAAATAGTTGAACAACTAGGGGCATGGAATTGATTCTATATCATGTGATTCTTCTTCATCTTTCAAATTTGAACATAGATGTCTTGAAATGATGTGACAGTTGAACGACAGAAAGGGAAGAAACAATTTATTTGTCATGTAATTTTTTATGCATAATTTGAAAATGTCATAGACTCGTCTTATTTGTGATATATCTGAATAAACAGTCGGTAATGTTAGAGTTATTCGTTTGCCAATGAATCTGTACATATACACTTAACTTCCAGAGCAAATCATCGAAGTTGAACAATAGTTGAAGTATATGCTTGAAAATTATTCATATGTCTGTTCTGTGCTTCTTCGTCATACTTTGAACTAGACGCAGAATCCGAATCTAGGAAATAACCATACAGAATCAATAGTAAAATAATTCATTTCTCATATTGTCTGTCTTCATAATAAAAACATTACCGTATTCTTCGAAGTAAAGAAATAGTTGGAAGGAGTCACGTAGATTTGTTCGTTTATATTTCATCTTTTTCTTGTAATTAAGACATGCTAAATCGATCATAAAATGGAATAGTATTTGAAAAAATAATGGTATGTAGAATTATTCATGATGAATGTGACGTTTTTTCATGCTTTGAACTCAGTACACATGATATGAACAGATGAAGTACTTGAAGAGTATTGAATTGTTCATATGGTATGTGTTCTTCTTCCTTCATACTTTTAGTTCGATATAGATTCTTTAAACGAAGAAAATAATGAACAATCAGTAATTGAACAATTAGTTATGTACTAGGTGATTATACTTCATCGTTTGTACTCAATAGAAACATTTCGAACCCAAGAAATAATTGAAACGATCCATGTAAACTGCTTCATTAATTTTGCGATCCTCGTAGAAAGTTAGAAACTCCAGATATCGGTGTCAACGTGAAGAGATAATTGAAAGAATCCAATAAAGTTCATTCATATGGCTTGTTGGTTTCCTTCATGATTAGTACTTGGCGGCACGCGTCAAACTAAGTCAATATTTGAAGAGAGCAAAGAGGAAAAGTTCATTTTTCATGTTATCTCTTTTTTATCCTTTGAACTACATAGATTGACTTCGAATAGGAACAGTATTTGAAGAAAGGTACGGGAAGTAATGAGGTATGTCTTTTGAAATGAAAACTATTTTGAAAAATTTACATTTATATTTTATTTTGGTATACGAAGGGTAACAACAATGATCATCATATCATCATATCTTGGCACATACGACAGTGTGAAACTCAGACATTCTCATTTCTTCTAACCAAACATTTTTTTCATATCTATAACAAGTTTTTTCTTTCTCTCGTTAATAAACTTAATACATATGCATGGATTGAAGTAGAAATTTCTAATGTCTCATCTTTGTTCAAACATACTCAAATATCTATATGACATTATGTCAGACTTATAGAATACCGAAATAAAGAGATGAGATCCATGATTCATGAATATACTAACAATCAACTGAAATATAATTTTATAAAATTTTATTGAAGACAATATTCTCAAAAGAACGTAGTAGCAAGTTGATATTTTTTGACAGATGTATAGAAATAATAATATAAGATGAAGAATAAATATATTTATAGATGCAAAAGTGTAAAAAGCTTTTAAAAGTATGATCGATAACTGCAATCAAGAATTTCTTGGAAAAGATGATAAACTTTGTTTAAATTGTGAATGTCTATTTGAAACATAACGAGATATATCTCAAGTATCTCTCTCTGTGTCTTGAAATTCAATAGTTGGTCTTCTTATTTCCAGAGGCATACATCTAACACCCGACACAATTAGACAGGATAATATGTAGGTTACATCACAATTTATTAGCTTTCAAGTAACATCATTACAAAGAGACAGATAAATTCTCATTAGATTACAAAAAGATTATTATGATTCACATCCAAAAAAAAATCAGTTGCAAATTTATACTACTGTACTAGAATTCAAAATTTTATGAAAATGAAAACTGTGACATATAATGAAGTATTTCACATACAATTACTGAATCTTCGATAAACATATTTCAAATCTAATTCATTATTCTTTGTTTTTATTTTGTTTTCGAAGAAGCTTATTTCTATAGATCTTATAAAGTAAAACGAAAGATAGTATTAAGAGATTTCGATAATTCCGAGGAAAAAGGATTGAAGGACGTTTTCTTTTTTGTAATGAAGAATACTGTAATTTATCATCCAAATGTCTTGAAAATGTTTATTTTTATCAAATGTACAACTGCGCATGATTCAATTAAAACAAGAAGAATTTACATTATAACTCAATCTAACATCGCAAAAAAATTCGTTCGAAATCAAAAACACTATTTTTAGCAATATACTTCACTTGAAATTTAGATACTTTCATCTGTTATGTTGTTTATACACAAAAAAACAACGCACAACTAATATTCAACTAATTTCTATATTTAAATATTAATATATGATTAATGAAAGAAAAAACAGAGTTTTATAAAAGCATTTATGAGACATTAATTATTTAAGTGCATCGTAAGAAGTGCTGAAGACGATGTTTTCTAACTTTGTGCTTTCCTGTGTGCTACTAATCTTCACAAAAAACGTTCAAGTTCATCTTCATTTATAAGGCATACTGTTTTATTTACATTCTCAACAACAAACATATCCACTATACCATTGTATATTTCTAATGGAGTAGATTCATCATTAATATCCCACGTTTTCTTCATACCTAGTATGTTACCAGACCAGAAAGGGACATGATGTAAAATTTCTACATCAAAATTCTGATATTAGAAAGTATTGTACATTTTTGTGTTTAGAATGTGCTGATACTATGTTTTGTCAACCATTGGTGATGGCGCACTCATTGTATTCTTACTATTTTTCAGAAATGCGTAAAAATGTTCTGATTTAAGAATGGTATTAAGTGTATTTTCACGATTCATATACTCTTTCATTTGTAAATGCTCAACAAGATAAAGTATGTCCGTATTTGAAAGTTCAACTTCATTCAACATGGATGTCCGAAATTATAAGTCATGTGCTAGTAGGTGAAATTATTTACATACGCCACTGCTTTTTTTTTTATCTAAGTCAAAAATAAGTATGACTCTTATATGCGTCTTGTAAATATCAAATCATATACGTATTAAGGCTCTTATACAAGGTTATTTACGTTAGTCAATGATTTTGATCATTTTTTTTTTAATTTTCTATTTGATCACCTATATTGATCATGTCATTATGAATGCGTAATCGCAAAACATCTAGTGACAATTTTATATCAAGCGAAATTGCAGATTCAGATATAATTAATGAATGATATTTATAATGGCAAATGGCTCGTTTCTTTTTATGTCTATAAAATGACAGAAAAAATGTAGTAATACATAATGCAATACGTACCATCATTAATTCATTCTTGCTCGTTAAGATCTTCTTTTCAAACGATCTTGTCATCATCATATTATATGTTCTATTTTTCTTTTTTCAGCATTAATGAATATGATTGACGTCCATAATTTGATGATTGTCAAAAATATATCAAAAAAAAACTAATTAATACGAATAACTACGTCGTTTACTTTCCTTCAAATTATTTTTATATAAATAACGAGCATGTGCAACAAAATCAAAAAACAACATTCAATTTGCAACAAGTAACATATTCTCGCATTTCTCATATTTTGAAAATAACAACCATAACGTGAAATACAATAATGCGCCTGATTTTAATCTTAACGTTAGTGATTACAACTCTCAACGTATGACAAGTTGAAAATGTTCCAGAGAGAAACGAAGCTCTTGCAAATCGTAGATTGGCTTTACGTGATCTCGTCCATAGGTCAATAGAAAAGCGTATCTTTCATTCGTATAAAGTGTAATCGTACTTCACATCAAGACTCACTTGGTCTAATGCAGTGAAAGTTAGTAGTAGTTTAACAGCTACAAGTGGAACTATCCATTTACCATATCAAATCATCTTCATCTAATGTTATCAAGTCTT